GCATGGACACGCATCTGGTTTCTCAGGAGGCGTCGCGCAGAGACGAACAGTTGCCAGCTGTTACTCTGACATGAGCCTTCCTAAAACTAGTAGCCTCTGCAAAGGGTATCAAGGAAAGGTCCTGGTCCCAACAGGGAGGAGATCTTTTGCTAGGCTTCTGAAATTAACCATGTCTAAGAGACTGAGTAGTTCTATAATACTAGTTTGGTGCATTTTCGGTATTGGGATCACAAGAGAATTCGAAGGTACTGCTTATAGCTGGTTCTGAGCTTGTTACTGTCTTAGACTTGGTAAGGTGGTTGTGGTACTTGTGGTTGCTCATGCAGTCTGTCTCTCCTTGCAGTCACATCAGATGCTGATTAGAAATATAGTGCCATTGTTCCCAAAGCAGTACTGGCACAGTGTGTGCTGCCGTGCACACTAGGTCAGTTTAAAAGAAGTAGCTCAGGTGCAGAGAACTCAAATTAACACTGCAGTGAAGCCCGGACTCATTGACCTATAAAGATAGAAAAGGAGGAGAGTGGGAAATATCAACAGCTTAGATCTCACAGCTGTCCCATGCCCAGTCTTAAGTAAAAGTTGTTGCTGGCATTGGTTCATTCTCGTGTTTGATTACATCTTGTTTTGTTTTCTTTCCCTTGTTTTCTTCTTATGTGATCTGCTCCTTTTGTTTGTAGGGCTTTTCTGCTGAAAAAGAGAGACCTGGGGAAGAAGTGCAAACATTGGAAACGTTCTGTATTAAAAGCTTAGTGACATGCTTTAACTGTGTTGTTTATGTCTACAGTTTGGGAAGAAATGGTATCTCTTCAGTGCAGCAGCTGGGCTTACTGAACTGCTTACTATAAGCACCCATAAACATTTGCCATGTGGTAGGTGCTCTGCAGTAATTCTTAGTGCACATGAGGTTAGGAAAGTAGTTATCATGTAAATAAATGTGCAGCTTTAATTTGTGGATTACAGTGTGTTTAAACTGATGTTTGAATAATTTGTCTTGAAATCAACATACCTGTAATGTGGTCTTAGTGTACTTTATATAGCATGAGAATTAGCTTTTTATGAGTTCTTGGTGTGTCTTTGGATATTACGTAATACGTGCATGATGACATTTAACAAACATGTTACAGTTATCAAATAGGATGTATTTTGTGCACATAGAAATGTTCATAGTCCTTAAGTTAGCTGATAATGTGAACTTGAGTGTTTGTAAAGCTCACCTGTTTTGAAGGCTGGCACTCTTGAGGCTGTGCTGTGCAGTCTCTTTTAATGTGGCATAAATCTATTCCTCTGGAAGTGGTAGTTTTTCATTCCCTTTTCTCTGGTAATTTCTTTTGTTGATGATACTATTCATTTCTCTGCTTGGACATTTAGGTCAGGGATCTAAACCACCTGAAGACAAAGTATGCGTGCTGCAGTTGTGGTTTATCAGCTGTTCAGCCGTGTTTATTACAGTCTGTGTTGTGGGTGTGGTTTGTGCCTGTGTTGGAGACTGGAGGGTTTTTTTGCCCCAGAGTAGAGTGTACCATGTAATGTCTTGCTTAAGTCATTTTAAAACCATGACACTCCCAAAAATGGGCAGTCCTGTCATCTTCCTGTGGCAAACTCTCCCATTCCCTCCCTTATGTTGGCATTACTTACTGGTCATGTGGCTGCGAGGTGAGTTGGACCTACCTTTGCTCTGGGTCAAAGCAGTGCAGTGCTGGTTTCCATTCGGATCAACAAGTGTGATTATTATTGCTGATGCAAGAGAAGAAGGAAAGTATAGCTGGATGTGGGGGCTGGTGACTAAGAGAGTAGCTGCTTGGATTTGGATCACCTTTGACCAAGAGTGAAAGTGCCTCCCGAGTGCCTCCCAGGTGGTTCCATGTTGATGCTCCCTTGCACGCTGGGAATGGCAAGCACAAGGAGACACAGAGCTACCTTGTGGCAGTAGCCCCACTACTAAGGGAGGATGAAAGTGTCTCTGTAACTGCCCTTGGAGAAAAGCTTGTTGGGCCTGCTCACCTCTGCTGAAGTGCCAAAACTAACATTTCTATAGGTTATATATATTATTACATTTCCGTGTCCGATAGTGATGTATATTATGTATTTATTTCTTAACATAGATATCCTGTGCAAGGTGGATATTTTATGATTTAATGTCTGTTTGCTATGGATTATACCTGAGTCTTTGGGTTTGCTATGGTACAAACATCTCATTTAGTGCTTCTGCTTTTTTTCATTTTCTTCAAATTGACTGTTACTGAATCTAGGTTGTCCTGAAGTGTATATTAACACAAAATAAGCAAAAAAATGCAAGTATGTTTAAGAATGTCCTTCAAACTTATTTTTTGCCATTATTTTGATATCTTAGTTATACATAAATTAGTACAGAAAATACACTTTATCTGTTTCTAAAATGGAAGCAATTTCACAGGATGGCTTGTTGAAATTTATGTGGTGGGAAGCACTTTAAACATGGAGAAAACTGAGCAAAATTAGTCCAAATGTTAGTGAAACATGCTTCTATTTCTGTTGCATAATATGATGGAAACAGCAGTTCTTACCTTAACTTCACATGAAAATTAGATGTTCCTGTTTCCATCACAGTCCTCAAGGCTGCAGTTTTTGTGCATATCAATAATGTTCAGTGGTATGCAGCTGACAGAGTCCTGCATGAAGATACTGAGCTACACTGCTATGTGGCAGCTAGCTTCCAAGGTGATGCAATTGACTTTAAAGATGTTAAAATGAAGAAGTGCATGTTATTTTACCAGGAAGGGGATGAGGATCTTTAGGGATGTTTATACCTGGACTTTTTAAATATGGGATATTTTTAACTACCCACTGATACTCAGGATTCTTGTTTTCCATTTGTACATCAGGGAGTTTCTACAAGGCTGATGACTGTAAGCCTGCTTTGCTGTCCAGTGTTAGCAACAAGACCAGGGCTTTGGTTTCAAGCAGAGTCTTCTCCTGTTTTTTGTTGTCTCCATTCTCCTTTTGGCCTTGTCTACATCCAAGATTTGAGATAACTGAGAAAACAGTAATGAGTTCTGACTGCTAAGAATGTGTGCTTTCTTAGCATAGGGCATATTTTAGTTTATTGCATATTGGCATAGTTAGTAATTCTTAGGTTTCCATGTCTCCCTGTATTTTGTTCTTCTACCTGTGCTTGTTTCAGGGACTTCCTCTAACCTCCTTTTGTTGTTCATTCTGTGTAGTTTTTATCTATTATATGTCAGTGAATGACCCAATTTCCATATACAATAGTAGAATACATAAGTAACATTAATAAAAGTTAGGTCTCTGTGGAGAGAGAAGGAGGGGACTTGCACACACAGAAACTGTGACCTCTCTGCTTTCTGTTTGTGTTACTGGTCATTATCCTAACTGAAGCTCAGACTTAAAACATGAACGTGTTGGAAGAGCTAGTGCTGAATCTGATGGTGAACTTTGCTAGTGCTTTATAAATTTGGGCTGTATGAGCTAAAATGACCCATGCTAAAATGACAAGTTCAACCTCAAACTGCTCCAGGGTCTGAAATTAATTTAAGGGACTGATAGGTGAATTGACTTGAGTACAAATTCTGGTCTTGTTTGACTGGTTATGTACCAAAAAAAAGCAACAAAAATCTCTATTTGTGAGAATTGAGCTTCTGGCAAAGAGACTTCTTAACCTTTTTCTTTTGCAACCTGGTGAGGAGCCGCTTGGAAGCACTGCAGCCTACATGTAGGGTATATCATGTCCCCAGCTGACCTGGAATAAACTTTTCCTTTTTTCTTTCTGCATATAGCTAGAACTTCCCTTGCTATCTGAGGATGAATTAGGTTTATAGAAGAATGTTGAAGGATACAATTACAGATTGGAACTTAGTCAATCGGAGTGTAAAGCTTCTGTCTCTGTGGACTTATTCATAGTAGATACTATTGAGTATGCCTATAGATGGATGCTTTTACTGTAGAAGAACTTCTTTGCAGCCTTTGAAAATCCCACTGTAAAAGCATCGATCAGATGAAGTGATTTCTTACAGAAATAGACATATGCATGTCTATTTCTAACAGCCATTAACTCAGAATGGCTGTTTCTGTTTAAATTTGTGGTTTTCCTGGCATTTGTAAATTGATTTTTATCAGATATTTTTTTTGTTCTTGCTTTCCTTGGCTAAAGATGCACAAAATTCAGAGTAGCTGAAACAGGACTTGAAAGTTGTGGTCTGTAGACCTGCAAAGTACATGAGGCATAGACACAGGTATCTCTTGTAGTTTTGGCTGAATGCTAGGAGTCTAATGTGGTGGCAGAGGATAAGAAATAAATGGTTTTGTCTATGCAGTAATTGTGGATATATTTGCTTTTTTAACCAGTCTGTACAGACAGTCAAAAGGTTAATACAGCAATACATGTGATACATCACACAAATAGTCATGTCTGACAGAGAGTGCTTGGCTAAGCAGTACACAGCATGGATGCTTTCTCCACACAGCTGGGTTTCAGTGGCTTGCTCTAAGGGCCAAGGGTTCTGTATAGGTAATAAGATAACATAGATAATTATGTCATTAGTACTGCTGATAACTGCAGTCACATGTACATTCTGAGAAAAGCTTAGACTCAGTGGCGTGTCATGAAGAGAGCCTGCCCTTGGGAAAATACTTCTTAAAAGCTTTCATATTTCAGTAGTGCCAGAAGTACTGTCTTAAATGTGTGTTTCAGCTAGCCTGGTGTGGGTTCTCTGAGCTGGTTTTTCAGCCTGTGGTCCCTGTGTACATTGGTTAAAGCTGGTAACTGGCAAGGCATGTACTCCTGTCTAGTTAGGGCAAAGACACAAGCGTGGGCAGATTGTGCAATGCTTTTTGTATTTATTAAGTTAGAATAATGTGAAGTTGTCATGTCAACAGATGCTGTAGGGATGAGCTAATTAAGTTTGATCACCGCAAGGGGGTGTTAGTGTGACCCACAGCCCAACTCTTAAGCCGTGGTTACGCTCAAGTCCTGTCACTTTTTTTTTTTTTTCGTTAAGGTATGCTTTGACTGTGGAGCGAAGAACCCTAGCTGGGCAAGCATAACATATGGAGTTTTCCTCTGTATTGATTGTTCAGGGACCCATCGATCTCTTGGTGTTCATTTGAGTTTCATTCGGTAAGCACTTGGTATATTTTTATAGAAAAAAATTGCATCTTTTAATGGTTTTGTTTGTCCAGATACCTGCTCAGAGAGGAAACCCCATTCTTCTCTCAATTACTGATTCAGACCTTTTTAATGGTTGTATTGGCTTTGATATATCTTATAGCTGCTGGGGATTAGTTAATAGGAAGGGTTTGGTAGAATTTGTGCCATGCACACATGCCCATTACCTGCTTGTTGTGTTAGCAATGTGCACTTGTTGGCAGGTCTCTTTGTAAATTAAAGAAGAAAATGGAGTAAGCATGTTAAAGTGTGATATAATTTCTCCAAATCAAAACTGAGGCAAATGTTAGTTTAGTATCTTCAACAGTGTTACAGTGTTATCGATCATACAGGTGATCTGACCCCCAAGCAAGGCAGCTGAGGGAGCAACGTGGCATTTTGTTGTCTTTGCCTCCTGAAAGTAGTTCACCATAATGTTACCTGAGTGCCAGTGTGGGGGGTGAAGGCCTACCCCTTTTGGCAGCTGTTTAACTCAAGCAGTTGGTACAGTAAATCTGCACCCTGAGCTTGTCACATTTCAGGTAAGTATCCTAACAGATGGTCTGTGGGCCTTTTTGAGCTGATAAATACTTAGGCATGTGAAACACAAGGTCCTATTTGAAGTGAATGAGAGCAATGCATCCAAGAATGGGTTGTAGGTAAAAGCAGCTGTTTTCTGTGAACTATAATTATTCCTCTGGTGCCTTTTTGCTGTATACGACAGTGTTACAGAAGGCTTCTCAAGAATCCATTCCTAATGATAACAGAATTAATCCTTCTCATACTCACTGGGTCCCAGATTTTTGTTGTGATATGACTTTGGAATTGTCTGTTGATCTGTTACATGTGATTGTCCTCTGCTGTTGACAGTGTACAGATGTGATTCCTGAAAACCTTACTGGTACTTTCTCAAAGGGAAAATCTATCAGCCAGAGGGTGCAGTTTTTTCAAGCTGTTACATTTTGAAAAACTGTGACAGTTCTACATAGATTTATTAATTTGTTTTGCACACTGTATTTTGTCACACATTTATTTTTCCGTCTAAATGCATGTTTTTCACTTTACAATAAGAAAAAAGAGGGGAAAGAAACATTTTGTGAAACAGGAAAAAAAGGTTGAGAGATTTTTGATGGCTTTGGACATAACATTAAAAGTGTTTTCTTTCTGTTTAGATCTACAGAACTGGATTCCAACTGGTCTTGGTTTCAGCTGAGATGCATGCAAGTTGGAGGGAATGCAAATGCTGTATGTACTCCTGAATATTTGCATTACACATTGAGGATTGTTAGGCTTGGAAGCTATTGTCTGCGCTTATTGGCTCACATCTTGGAGATATTTTTTTTTCCAGTCCATTTATCATTTTTTTCCTCATGATTTTTAAGAATCCTTTGATTTTAGGCATCCTTTGAATGCTAATTTCATCCTCCATACTACTTGCACTTTTTCTGTCTTGGTATAATCTGCAAGTATTTTATCTTACAAGTCATTAATAAAAGTCACTGAAGAGGCCAGATCACATTATCTGTCAGTAAGTGTCTAATTTAACAGGGAAATATTGACAGCTGATGAAAGATGGCTTTCCAGCAGCTTGTAAATGTAGCTTATGGACATCTTCCTGTGACCATGTTTCCTTACCTGGTTTATGGAAACACTTAAGTCATGATCTGACTTATACCTAAGATAAAACATGCTACTGTCAGAGAGAGTGTTTTGGTGTGGGCCACTTTTATGTTGGCTGTTACTTTCAACTTGATTTTTTATGTACTTACAAATAAGTTTGTTACACAGTATTTTCTTACATTGAAGTTATGTTAACTGCTGCATTGTTCTCAATCTCCTTTTAAAAAGAGGATGTTTTCCTTTGTAGGCTCTTTCAGAATGTTCCCTGTTTTCCCATTTATTTTTTTTTTTCAAAGATCAACCACAAATAACTGAGACTGCTTCTCTAAGTTGACATAGCCAGTCTTGAAAAATACAGACTCTCCAAGCAATTTCTAATTTTTTTCTAATTCCTTGAATGCTTACCCCTTATCTTAATTAATTTGTGCTTTTTCCTTAGTGTTGTTTCTTTAAGGAACTGGACCCAAACTTGCTTTCCATTGGCTTTTTTTTTTCTTGACAATTTTCTTAACAGTATGCTTTCCTCAAGTCTAAAACTTTAATGTTCTGCTGATTTTTCTGGTATTTTTCCGATTTTCATACAAAAAAAGTATGAATCCAGGATCATTATTTTTTTGTCTTCCCCTTCTGCAATTTCCCATCAAGCTTTTTTGTTTGTATTAGGCATTCAGCAGGTCACTATCTCTGGCTTACATATCTGAGCAGTTTCATGGTGTCTTCTCCCTCTTTTTTTCTGCCTATTTTTTCTAAGTTACACCTTCTGAAGTATTTCTGCAATAATTCTTCTGTTATCTAAATTTACTCATGGAATTTCTGTTATGCCACTTAGCACATAAAAATCACAGTTTTGACAAATCAGAAGAGGGAAGATTTTGGATGAAAATAGTTTCTTTTTCAACCAAAGGCTTAAAAGCTTTGTTTAAACTACATAAACTTTGCTCTAGAAAGAGTTTAAGGCAGTTGGAAAGAAGAGATGGCAAAGTTTGAAAATGCTTCAGTTAATCTTAGAAAGCATATTACCAGAAGAATGACATTAAACTTATATAATTTTCTGAGGTTTTGTCTTTCTGTTTGGATGTCACAGTTTCCTATCATTCAGTGTACCAAGACGTGTAATATACTCAGGGCCACTCCTTAAATACCTCAAATTCACAGTGGCCTGTTTTGGATTTTCTAGGAAGCTTAGTATGTGAAACTTTAAAGACCAGTTTAGAAAACTGTCTGTGTATTTTTAAAAGTAAAATTAACATATTTTTTTTTTCTAATGGCATTCAAAAAATTTCCCATTTTGATCTAAAATGCCAAATTTTACTTTTACTAAACTACAGTTTAGAAGCACTGTCAGATTAAGATTCATAATTTGTATTCTGTAATTGCCTGATGATGCTGAATCTTCGGTAACAGCAGTCCTGAGCTTCATGGCCATGTATCAGACTGCTAGAAAATCTGGTGGGTTTAGTTCCTTTTGTTTTCAGAATAAATCTCTACGATGATTTGAATGAGGGTTTACAAAAAACTCTAATAATCAAGTTCATGGTTGTATATAATTAAATACAAAAATGCACAAGTGTTTTGATGTCTGTGATGTCTCCATCCCTGGAGGTATTTAAATGAGTGTAGATGTGGTGCCCAGGGACGTGGTTTAGTGCTGGACTTGGCAGTGTGCTTGGTTAATGGTTGGAGATGATGATCTTAAAGGTCTTTTCCAACTAAAACAATTCTGTGATTCTACGTTTCACTGTTTCTGTTGTAACCACAGAAGTTCACTGTCATTACCTCTGTCCTGCATGGTTGTTGCTCAGTTTTTCTACAAAGTCTGGTACTTGTACACTAGATTTATGCTTTGCAATTGCAGTCTATGATGTCTTAGCCTTAGGTTATCTAGACTTGCTGATCCTATCAGCAAGTTACTGATTTTTTTACTGTAGCAGTCAGACGTGTTCTGCCATGCAAGAATGTATGGTATGATTTGCTGTCAATTCTAGGTACTGAAAAATTACTTGTTTGATCTTTTGACCAAATAACTTGAGAAACTCTTACATAAATGTATTGATTTACTTTTGATTTAAGATCCTAAATTGGAATAGCATTTTTCATTTACAATTTTATATAAATACAAAAGCATATAAATGTATCTGGGTACATAAATGTGTATACACACGCTTTTCTTTTGAAGGAAGACCATTTTTGTACAATCATTTTGATTCTATTGAGCATACATTGTTTCCTTTAGCATGCTAGAGATGAAGCCAAGCAATGCCTTTTAGTATATCAGGAGTGTCCTTTGAAGCACAGACAGGTATTTGCAATCAATTTTACCTCTTCCTTTCTACACTTTAATTTCAGAGCTAGGATTCATTGTGGATGATGGCAAGTTTGGGTTTTGTACATGCTTCTAAAATATCCCATCAATGTGTTTTGTTTTGTTTTATTTTCTGTTGTGTTTTTTATACATAAAAAGGTTGCCAGAATTGAGTTTGATTTTGGAGATATGCCTAGACTTCATATTTTAAAATATTAGATATAGGCAGAGGAGCAGAGTGTTTTGCTGCATTGCCATGTATTTTTATGTTAAATGGCATTCGTTTTTAAACCTGTTTCTCATAGTGTTTTCTATTCTGCTTCATAGACTGCTTTTTTCCATCAACATGGATGCACAACAAATGATACCAATGCAAAGTATAACAGTCGTGCTGCTCAGCTGTATAAGGAGAAGATTAAATCTCTTGCAACACAGGCAACAAGAAAGCATGGGACTGATGTGAGTAGAGTGTGTCCTTTGTCATTAAGATTTCTGAAAAACTTTATATTCTTTCCCCCTGGAGTTATTTTAAGGCCATAATTGGTAATGGAAAAAATTATTTGTTTTCAGGTGGTACTTATACACATTGCAGTGAATAGGCAGGCCGGGCAGCAAAAGTCTTTGTAGCTTGTATCTTTTGTTTGGAAAAAGAATACTGAGGTAGAGCACAACTAGATATTTCAGGATAGTTTTTGCATGATTAAAAACATTAATTTTAACATTTGTAGTAACTTGGAGGAGTTCTAGGCAGAAGCTTCAGGTGTTCTTCAAAATGGAAACTTCTTTGCAGGAGTGCCGCAAAATTATACTAGTGGTATTGCATGACAAAAATGTCAGCGCTTCTCCATAAACTACATAGGGCTTGTGGTTTTGCTTATCTGAAACTGAATTACACTTGAGAAACACAGCAGGTAAAAATATAACTGGACTTGGTGATCTTAAAGGTTTTTTCCAGCCTTTGTGATTCTGTGATTCTGTAGAAGTGCACAGAAGTAACTGCATAATATTTGTAATTTAAGTGGGATTTGATTTGAAGTGGGAATGTGTGCTTTTGCCTTTTTCCACTACAAAAATAATATATGAAAAATTAGCAAGTTATGTGTATCCTAAACTTGCTGTTCTTCGTTAAAAAGGTTGAGACAGTTCATGCATGCTGTCAAAACACTAGGTTGCGGACAGGAGGAATTTATTAGCAAAGTCTGCAGAATTAGTTTGCAGAGGTGTTAAGTTTGACAAGTCTTCTGCGTACACAGAAAGCGTGTTTAGGTTGTTTAATTCAGCTTGTTAAAGTCCATGGCTGATTCATTTGAACCTCCTCAGATGAATGGGAATTAAAAGAAAAGCAAGAAGGCTTGTGTTTTTTTTTCCAATCTGTGCATCAAATAGCATGAAATTTAATGGAATTATAAGAATTATATATTATAAAAGTTGTAGACAATATAGTTCACATCACTAACTTCAGAGACTACTTCTTTTTAGTTACTAAACAGCTTTATATGTGAAACATGTTCAAGTAAATATACCATGTGCATTTAAATTAATGGTAAGTTCTCAAAATGTCTTTCTGGAGAACTGTTATTTTCTTGCTTCAATTACAGTTTCCATCCAATTTTTTGAGGTTGCTTATGTATTTCTTATTTTAAAAAATCAGTGAATATGTTTTTAAAATTATGTTCTGCAAGTTTACGTAATTAAGTGCTATCTGAATTCCTCAAGTAAATTATTCAGACAATTACATTTAGTACCAACCATGCACTTCCCTGTCACACATTAGAAATACTGTTCTGTAACTTAATGGTAGTCAATTGTAAATGATGAGGTAAGCTAGTTGTACATTCAGTAACCTTTCTGATAGAGGTAATTATTTTTTATCATGATCATTATTTTTGATCCCACAGTACTAGACCACACTGATACAATTCTGAAAACTGTTTCCAGTGACTGCTAGTGTTATGTTTTCATTATTCATTTCATATTCATTTATGTTTTTTGGTTGTTGTTGTGGTTTTTTTCCTGTGGGCAAAATAAGAATATGATGAAATACCTTCTATGAGAATATGAAAAAACCTATTTGTTACAAAGCACTAGTGATACTGAATATTGACAATATTACTGCAGCACAGCTTATACTGAGCATTTTGTTAGGAAGGAGATGGGTAATTTAAAGAAACACACCACAAGTGCATGAAATAAGAAAAAAAATAGGAATGTCATATATTAAAGCTCGAATAAACTTTTAAGGAAAAATAATGTGCTGGGGAAAAAAATCAATACATTTCAATCCTGAATAATTTTTAAAAGGTAGTTTTAAGATTACTGGATTTGAAAAATAATATATTCTTGTACTTGTCCTTTAAAATTCTCTCTCTCTTTTACTCTAGCTGTGGACAGATGGATGTGGAATGCCACCTGTGTCACCTCAAAAGAAAGAGGAAGATTTCTTTGCATCCCATGTTTCTCCCAAGGTTAGATCATCTGTATTTAATTCATGTTAGCTTTCTAAATACTTAAGCTAGCTCTGTGTTCTGTGATGAAGGTTAAACCCTGAAACAAAAATTTGTAAAGAAAGGGTAGATCAGTGAGTTAATGTTTATCTGCTTTCCTTCACCTTCCTGGGTGTCAAAATTCTTCCTGGATGTGAACCACTTTCTAAGGTGATAATTTAGAATGACCCAAATAGAAGAGAATGTATGGGTAGGTTAAAGTAAATTTTCACAGCAAACCCTTCAGATAGCTGCAGAGGCAGGAAAAGAGAGACAAACAGTCTATGTACCCCAGGGCAAGAGATTATTTGAGTATGGATGTTTTGAGAGAGATGTCAGGAAGTTTTAAGATTGAAGTTTTAGGAAAGAATAAGCATGACCTGCAGTGGCACAGCACTGATGGAAAAGATAATACTAACCTAATATTGTGACCAGGTCACAAATCTGCCTGTTGAGGATGCATCTGAGGGAAGAGGGAGGACTCGTCATGCAGACTTGGAAGGACAACTCACAATCAAAAGTTGTTAGAAAATTAGAAGTGCAAGAGCTTACTGTGGGTAGAAGGCTTGGTGATTATATGTAAATAAATGATCCAGGTTTCCTGTACTGTATTACTGTTATGGGTAAAGACGATTAATACATAGAATAAATAAATCTAAAGCACAATTAAAATACAATTTGTTTTTTTGAGTGGTAAACATACTGAAATTCCTGAGAGGGGAATACAGGTCCTCTTCAGTGGTTTGAAAGCAGCTTGCTTTCAATAATGGTATTTCTTGTAACTTTAATAACTGTCCTTATGAGAACAGGCTTTTCACATAGAAGCTGTAGTCGTAAGAATCCAGTATGAACTGAACAGTGATGCTTAGACAGCCTTTGAGCTCAATGCTCGTATTTATTTGCTGTGTTTTATTTTGTGTACACTTTTGATTTGGGTTTTTTTTTTTCCAAGGCAAAGAATACAGAGTGGGTGTTATCAGAGCCAGAACCAGTT